ATCTTATCACTAACCACTGCACTCCCCAGATTGGCTTTATTCCCCCCCACATCACTCACTGCTCGAGGCTTCAGAGGTGTAGAGCTTTGTGTAGATTCATTACTGATGTCATGAGTCCCGGGGCTGCTGCAGATGTAATCAGTTTGTGGAGAAGCAAGATGACTGGATTGTTGACTCTCACAATAATCACTAGAATCTTGCGCTGCTGCTTCAGCATATGTGAGATGTCCTGGTGAGACTCGTGGCTGGCTAGGGCTGTTCTGTGGTGGTGGCAGAGGTGTAACTGTGGTGGTGGTGGAGGCTGATGTTTGTATGGTGTCCTGCATCTGTCTGTTGTGTTCAGCGGAGATAGCAGCCCTGAGTTGTTTCACAAACATATCTTGAGACAGTCCATTCCTCAAGGCTCTGTAAGAGTTTTGGTTGTATGTTACTATGATGACTTTTGCTTTTGTTTTAAGTTGGAAGTTGGCAATATTTGAGGCGAATAAGTCTATTGAAATGTTGTCTCTTATGCAACCCATTGGCGAGCATACTAATGTCGTTAAGTTTCTCTTTCGAAAATCCATGATGAGCTCTTGAAATGCCGCATTATACTCATTCCTATCTGGCTTTGAGAAATACACAGGCTTAGTCACCAGGCTGTAAACTGACCCTTTAGGTGTTTCTTGAAATGTCAGGTGCTTGTCACAGTAGTTTCCATAGTCTGGCTTACCAAAATAGCTCTTGAATTTGACAGCCACTCCAGCACTCATATGTCTGTCTGATGTAAAGTCTGCCGAGATACAGTGGGAAAATGCTGCATTCTTGTCTTCACCATACTTTTTAAAAACTTCAGTCATTCCACATTCAATAATTTGTATGCCCAATTTTTCTTCAGGTACCGTAATGTTATTATGATATGTGTCAGGTGATTGAGTGTCAATTTTTATTGCTTTAACAATTTGTTCACACAACAGTTTTTTCCCAGTCCCATTAAGGTGCTGTCCATGTTGTGTAAAATGGTGTCGACGTAACAAAGAGCAGTCTACCAATTTGAAGTTCTTGGTTTTTAAAATATGGTTTACTCGTCAAATTTCTCTATTAACAATATGCTGAGGAAAGAGGTCGAATCTGTGGAACAGAGGAACAAAAAGGATTCTTGTGTGACTATGTTTTTTTATGAAATTTTCAAATTGTTCTGGAATTTCTTTCGATGGATTAAGATTTGCATTTAACATTTTTTCAACATTGTTTGCTCCAGCAATTATTACAGCAGTGTCTTTGCTGCATTGGTTTTTAATATTACCATCAGCGTTTTGAAGAATGTACTCCACAGGTGCTCCTGGGTTTGTGTTGACAAACAGTTTTGAGTTCAAATTGAGATTTGGTTGTAAAGTCTCATATAGTTTTCTACCATGACTGTCAGCATAAATATTAAGCCCCACCAACTGGATACCCTGTGGGGTACAGGCTTCAGGTGTTACTTTATTCTCATCGATATTATTATCATCTTGGCCAGCAATCTTAGACTTTTTTTACTTCCACTGACATCTTTCTGTGTTCTCACATAACTAGCGTTACCACTCTTTTTGAGTGTGAGTGATTTTTCTTGAGTTTGGGTGTTTTTATCATGTTTGGCAACTTGTTTATGAGTAAGGTTTGTGTATTCTGTTATTAGCTCATACAATAGTCCGTCTGTCAAGAAGACATGATTCATTAGAACGTATGCTAGTACTGATCTTTTATTTATGAGTTCTAACTCACTAACCAGTACTTTTCCAACAGTCTGAAAATTTGGTGATGTTTTACTCATGAGATGATAGAGAATATTTTCAACAAAAAGACAAATGTAAATCCCACAGTCGTATGAATTTATTTGTCTTGATGATTCTATCGGTGTGAAATCACTTGGCGTTAGCTTGAGGTAGGCAGATATCTTATGAGCTATGACCTGGGCATGAGCAATATTTGCATTCGATAAGGAGTCGTAATAGTAGAAAGCATTTGTATTCTTGTACCATACCATTACACTCCAATGTCCTCCTTCAAAAGAGCTTTCAATAGCATCATTCACTGGAATTACTATAAGGTTTTGATTGTGAAGCTGCATTGGATCTAAAAAATGAGAATAATCTTCTAGGCTTTTTATAGCATGACTTATCAATGGGTTCAGGATGATACATGACTTAGATAGTAAAAAACGATTATTTAGTAGCTCGAAATACTGATTTAGAGATTGGTCTGTGAGAATGTTCATCAGCTAGCAAAGTGCTATTGTAGTCACTAGATGTTTGTGTTTGAACAGAGTTTACGGTACTTTCCTGTTAAAGGGAACATTCATTATTATCGATGATTTTTAATCGATATATCGATATTTTTGTTTCCCTTTACGATCCATTACAAATTAATTGACAACTGATCTTGTTCAGGCTAAAATCTAGCCTATTATGGATTAAAACTGTTCTAAGCTAACCCAACATAACCAACCAAACTTGCTGTACCATTTTAAAAATTCCGTTTGATTACAGAAAAGGCATGTGGGGAATATTAAACGGAATTTTTAAATGTTACAGCAAGTTTGGTTAGTTTTGTTAGGTTGGTTTGGAACAGTTTCATTTAAATTATTTATTGATACTGAATAATATTTATTCATCGTAGTTGTCAGCTGATAAGTTTTAATTCGTTAATATCGATATATCGATTGAAAATCATCGATAGTAATGAATGTTCCCTTTAACAGGAAAGTACCGAGTTTACTTGAAAACTTCCTCCTTGTATCTTTTCTTGTTCACTGACATTATATGTTTCATCCCCATCTGTAGGATCAGTACTTACAATACTACTATTTATTGAGTTTAGAGTTGCATTGGAATCTGACACACTAGAATTTAGTATTACAGATTCACTCTGTTGCTTATTATTTTTATTCAATATACTAAAATTGAAGTCATTAATATTAACTGATAGGTTGTGAGCTTGAATATATTTTGACAATTCAGCTTTTGATCTTATTAACTTTCCTTATGGAGAGTAAAAATATACATCTTTCTTCCCTGCTGTAGCTCCTTTTTTGCGTAGAACTTCCTTCCTAGACCATCCTTGAGGAAGAAAATCATTTTGAGAACTCATCTTCTATCATTCAATTAGTAAAAATAAAAAATAAATATTGGTATACTTTAAAAAATAAATATTGGTATACAAATCTACAGATGAATTAATAAAATAAAATAATTAATTTCCTGATATCTGGCTTGCATATTTTCCACTTCAAATATTTTAGATTGCAAGTATAAATTATATTATTATATGCAGATGAATTATAAAATTATTTTATTCAGATATTTTAGGAAATTGGTAGCTGTAGCTAAAATGAAATACTAAGAAAAATTAAATAAAATAAGTGACACCTGCTCAAAACAAAGATTGTAAACAAGCTGATAACAGTAGTTGACAGACTGCATGGATAGCTACTATGACTCAAGTGAGCCTGGTTATCTTGGGTGCAAGGGTCAGGACTCCTTATCGCTGGACCGGCTGTCTGTGTTCTGACAAATAATCTTGCAATTCCAGGAAAAAGTTTTGTTAAATCTTCAATTTGCTCTTTAAATATTTTAAAATAGTAACTTCTACTCACATACTTTTATACCCAAAAATAAACTTAACACTTTGGTATAAAACTTATCTCAAACAAACTATAAAAAACCACTTTTTTATGGAAAAAATTGAAGAGCACACTTGCACCTGTTCAATCACTCAGGGGTCTTCCCCCACTCTCATTTAATACAGGCCTGATCATTCTTTTTTGCTTTTTCAGTTGGTTCTTTCTCAGTGTGCATCAAAAAATGTTACCAGAATAGTTTATTTTTCCCATGTAGAATTGATTTTGAGGTATGGCATTACCTTATGGGGAAATTCAACAAATAGTAAAAAGATATTTTCAATGCAAAAAAGATTCATTAGAAACTAGTCTTAAACCAAATGTAAATTGTCAAGAATTGTATTTTATTTGAAATCTTGTTAGTCACTTTCGTGCTGAATTTGTGACACAAAAGCTGAATGTTTACAGCTGTTATGTTAAGCAAATTATTTTATGCCAAAAGCTAGTTTAGAATCTTAGCGTCGGCTGCTAGACTTTTTGAAAATTAAAACTTAATTTCTAAAAAACTGGGACCCTAAACTAAAATTATGGCTTCGACATTCCCTAGTTCTCAAAATTATCTTTCTTTCAACACAATCAACACAAAAATCATGAAAATCCGTCGAGTGGTTGATTCAGAATCGTGAAATAAAAAAACACTGTTTCGTTTTAATATTATAGATATGGCAAACGCTAAATTTAGGGCTTACTGTAAAAAACATTTAAAAAATCAGTCCATATTAACTTTCCCCAGCCTGTTCATTTATGAAAGTCTTAATTATGTCCATGAAAATAAAAAAAAATTTGAAAAGTTCTTAATAAAAAATAAATACAACACTAGAAACAAGAACCTTTACAGTTACCCAATCCATCGGACAACAAAATTTGAAAAATGTCCTTTTATACAGGCCTGAAGCTGTACAACCATTTGCCGAATAAATTTAAACAATTGGCAGTAAATGTTTTTTAAGTTAAAATTAAAGAAATTCTACTGGATAAGGTTTATTATTCCATCTCAGACTTTTTAGCAGACACCTCTCCTTGGGTTAGTCATTGTACATTTTTATTGTTATTGTAATTTTCTATGTTTTGTGTCAAATGTTTTTTCCATTGTATTTTACTATTAAGATTTATGTAATTGACAAGACACCAGTTACTGCTATAAGCACCTAATGTAATGTTATTTGTATCAATAAATTGATTTTATTTGAACCTATTCCATGAAACTATACACGTATGTACCAAGTTTCAACTTGCCATCTCACAATTTCCTTGATCATTAACTCTCTCTTTTGTGGACTATACCTCCCCAACTGGCTCTAGGCCATATGCCCAGTTTAATGTATCATAGTTTCAATGATGTGAACGAAAGCACTTGTTGCAGAGGTAGCCCAGCTGGTCACAATCAAGTGCATTGATTGGATGGGAGGTGTTGGCTTCACCCAAGATTACCCGCAAGAGAAGTTCTATAGAGATGTCAAAATTGGAGCCATTTACGAGGGAACTACAAACATGCAGTTGAGCACAATTGCCAAAGCAATTAGAAAAGAATACAGTTGATAAAATCTCAAAATGTTTTCCATATACAGGGTGTCACAAAAAAGTGTGATGGGCTATACAGGACCTAATTCTACACGCAAAAATAAGTCAAAAATGAAGAATAATATTTATTGGATTTCGGCTTAGTTTAGCCGTAATCCGCCATTTTGTTTTTTGGGGAAAATATTTATTATTTCAAAATCCCTTTGAGATATTTTTACGAAACTTGGCAAAATTTTTTACACTATAGTAAGTAACATTTATAAAAAAAAATTATTATTTTAACTTTCCAAATTTCAAAATGGCGGCCGTTTGAATTTTTTAATGCCAAATTTCATGAAAACCGGTACCTAAATCAAAATTTTGTAAGACACAAAAGTTTTAGTATTTATTATGACAAATCCAACAAAACAAAAATCAATAAAATCGGTTCATAAATAAAGAAGCTGTATTTATTTTAGTAATTTAGACTGAAATTATTAATATTAAAATGTATTAAATGTAATGTAATAGTTTATGTAACGTATTAAGTAATTTCAGTCTAAATTACTAAAATAAACACAGCTTCTTTATTTATGAACCGATTTTATTCATTTTTGTTTTGTTGGATTTGTCATAATAAATACTAAAACTTTTGTGTCTTACAAAATTTTGATTTAGGTACCGGTTTTCATGAAATTTGGCATTAAAAAATTCAAACGGCTCCATTTTGAAATTTGGGAAGTTAAAATAATAATTTTTTTTATAAATGTTACTTACTATAATTTAAACAATTTTGCCAAGTTTCGTAAAAATATCTCAAAGGGATTTTGAAATAATAAATAGTTTCCCCAAAAAACAAAATGGCGGATTACGACTAAACTAAGCCGAAATCCAAAAAATTTTATTCTTCATTTTTGACTTATTTTTGCATGTAGAATCAGGTCCTGTATAGCCCATCACACTTTTTTGTGACACCCTGTATTTAAGAGTACCACTGCCAATCGGGAAATGATTTCCATTACAATAAAAAATATTATTTATGGATATACTAAATTTGTTTACATTTGCAGATATTTCAGCGATTATTAGTTTAAGAGTCGGTAGGACCGCCGGTCGTCTTGGATTTTCTGCCCATAACGGAAATGTTAATGATTAAAGCATATTATGGCATTATTATTAAGATAAAAAGTTGCAAAATATCTAATTTAAAGCTATTGAAACCGTGGATGTGATTTCCTACCTACTTTTTAATATTATTTGTTATTATTTTTTCAAACTACATAAATATATTGACTTAAACTGTTATTTTTTTCAACCTCTAAAACAAAAGTTTTAAAAATCCAAAAAACAATTCACACAGAATTTTTTTAACAATAACATAACTTTTTTGCTCGTTAATTAACCTTACAGTGCATGATTAATATGCTTCAAAGTGAACGCATGTTTTGGCTGATCGGCGCTCGGACAACCACTGTTTTGCCTGGCATCTGACGGTCAACAACAATGCAAAATTATTGACTCCATCCGACTCTTAAGGATACCATACTTAAAATTACTTGCACTACAGTGCACTGGAAAAAATAAAGTACTGAAAATAAATACAAATACTACAAACCTTGTGATTGCTGATGTGATGTTTACGTACTTTTCTTTTATTGAATACTGTGTATTGTATAGGAACTTTACAAAAACACTATTTGATGTATGAATTAATAAAAATGTTTTATAGTAGCTCAGTGTGTTTCCATTATAACATGTTAGGTTATGGTGTGGTCGCGTTATAATCCTTTTGGCAACATCGAGCACTGTGTTTTGAAAGTAGGCCTACAGAAACAGAGCTAATGTATAAACAATTGGAAAACCTATATAAACAATTAAACGTTTAAACACTCTAAGTATTATATTCACCCACACCACAAAAAACATAACTTCTCTGTTCATGGTGTAATATAGAAAAATCTATGATAATAATCAAAAGGTTAACTTATTAAAAATATAAACAAACAATTATAAATCAAAAACAAATGTAACAGCTCAAGTTAAAGTTAATAAACATTGGTTAAATTGTCTCTCTAAGTTGTATTAATAGTTTGTGTTTTTATAAAGTTATTTTCGGTAATATGCATGTAACACAACAATGAAGCAGGATGTAAGTTTCTTGAACTGTAACATCCGTTGAAGTATTTTATTGGCTTATAGCATAGATAAAACATACTCCCTTAGTAGATTTGTCATCCTTATGGAACAGCTGAAGCCAATTTTATTGTTAGTTCTGTATCTGAAAAAAACAAAAATATATACGTCTAATAACACTTATAATAATATATTCACACTTATGCTGTTGACTTACAAGACGGTAAATACATTTAAAAGTTGGTAAGTGGTGATCGATTTTGATTGGACACTCCAATCATCAGATCCAATAGGCGAATGACAAGAATCAAAATGGCGTTCCCTTATATATTCCCTTATTTTGATTCTTATCATTCGCCTATTTGGTCTGATGATGATTGGAGTGTCCAATCAAAATCGATCACCACTTATTAACTATTAAATGTATTTACCGTTTTCTAAGTCAACAGTATAAGTGTAAATATATTATTACAAGTGTTATTAGACGTATATATTTTTGTTTTTTCAGGTAATTTAATAACACGTACGATGCTGATCAAGAAATTATTCATTAGTTCTGTACGTCAAACTGCTGAGGCCGTGTTTTGTTTAGAATTAGTTTCTCCTTATTTCAGTAATTTAAAACCTCATATAACCAAATAAAACGATATAATCATAAACAATGACTGGTCTCCTAGTTCAATTTAACCAAATAGTAAAGCACAAATCATGAAAAACTCCCTAAAATAATAGAAACAAAATTTCGTCGACACAAGCCTCCTGTGTCACCGGACATGAAATAGACACGAAAAATAAAGCTTCAACATTTACATTGGGATGAGGAGTCTACTTGTGTTGCTTAGTCTATGCTTATAGCATCCATCGATCTCTATTATTACAACTGGATCGCGCGCTGTACTGCTCAGAGATACACACGTATCGGTTCGCCGCTCCCCCACCACGTAAGGTATTTACTGTCTCTCTCTTATTCATTACGTCTTATGGCATTTCCGCGTTTGCGCTCACAAAATACGCTATTTCTCTGTTCATAGTGGCTCGATTGTCAATTTGTTTACACAGTTGTAATCTGCATGAAATTGCGGAGATTATGGTGTATGTTTTATATTAAAATAATTATTTTTTAGATTATATTAATTCTTGAATCTACTAAATATGGTTTGTCATTGCCACTTTTAAATTAATTATAAAGCTGTTATCATGGCTAATGATTAATTAACTTAATTTAGCATACACACTTATTAAAGTTTAATCTTATGTTTTTTATGCATTTAATGTGTAGGAGAGGACCCATGCTGATCCGCAGCTTTAAAATAAATATATTATTAAAGAAAATCAAATTTATGATTTTTGATTGAGTAATACAGTATCTTGAGCTTAACTGATTCAAATGATCAATAAATCAAGTTAAAGCCTATACCAGTACATTACTGATTATTGAAGATCAACACGGATAACCTAATACTATAAGTGGCTATAAGTGGGAAACATTCAAAAAACCAGATCAGCTTTTGAAAAATTATAAAATATTTACAAAAAATGTTGATTATATGGAACTGTTAGGTACGTAATCTATGAGTCTTTTGAACTCATCGGAAATTATGATGACTTTTATTTGTTTTTAAAAAACTACTTTACTTATTTGCAATTGCTTGATTTCGAGCAACGTGTACACTAGTTTTCATTATTCTTTGAATATTAAACAAACAAAACAATAAACTGGTGCAAAGTACGAGCCATAAGCAAGTTTGCAGTTTAAAAACTTTACTTTGTAGCTAATATTGTGTTGTGGTATGGACAACACAGTTTTAGGCACGTCACACACTGAGTCCGCTCAGTTCAGTCCGTTCAGCAAATTTCAAAAACCATGTATTCAAATGTAGAGCCGCACACTGGGTCCGCTCCGTCTCACCCAGTTATCGGTAAGCGAGCGATTTGGACGGAAGCGACGGAAGGAACGGAGGTGCCGCGCATGTGCAATGCAGAGTAAACAGCAGTCAGTGTTGTGCAACTGAACTCGGGTGGTGACACATCTTCGTAGTAGGCCTTTTGTGTGACATTTATTAAATATGAGTTTTGACGAACGACTGATTTCAGTAGTACTGACGTATCCATTGTTGTACGACCTGCCACACAAGGATTACTACAACATTACAATGAAGAAGGCCGCGTGGGAGGAATTATCATTGATACATTGAAAAGACATTGATGTGAACCCATAATTGCCTCTTTTTCCTTACAATTTTATCTTACAGCATTTGCAGCTAGTGCAAATGCGATTACAGCAATTTCTTCGTCACTACTGCTGGAACTCATAACAACTAGGAAATCTCGACACAAATAATTTATTTGTGAACAATGTCAGTGTATGTCGTCCACTGGCGTTTGGCGCTCAAAAACGACTGAACTAAGCGGACCGAACTGATGCAGTGTGTGGGAAAGCTGCTGGAACTGAGCTGACTGACCTGAGCTGAGCTGAGCGGACTGAACTGAGAGGACTCAGTGTGCGACATGCCTTAACGTAAAACCGATCTTTGTATTCGGCTTGGAAAAATCAATATTGATTCATTAATACATTACTAGTAAAATTAATCGCATAATCACTATTAATTAAGCACTTGAGAAACCACAATTTGGTCAACTACGAGGGTCGTCACAAAAGTAAGTTACACCTATTTCCAAAATAAATAAAAAAGCCAAATTTGATTTGAAAAGGGTATATTTTAAAAGATACATACATAGACAATTTTTCTACGTAGTCGCCATCTTTTTCAAGGCATTTTTGATAACGTGGCAACAGTTTTTTTGGTCCAGCATCATACCTTTCTGCCACCATTTTGGTTAGCCATTGTTCCACCTCCTGTTTCAGTTCGTCTTCGTTTTCGAAGCGCTTCCCGCCTAAATGCCGCTTCAACTCCGGGAAGAGATGAAAATCACTCGGCGCCAAGTCAGGAGAGTAAGGTGGATGGCCGAAAACATCCCATCGGAAGGATTCCAAAAGGTCTTGTGTTTGACGGGCGGTGTGTGGGCGAGCATTGTCGTGAAACAAAAACACTGTTTTGGTCAACTTCCCCCTCCTTTTGTTCTGTATCGCCCTTCTCAGCTTACGTAGCACTTCACAATAACGTTCAGCTGTAATTGTTTCCCCCCTTGGCAGGTAATCAATTAACAATACTCCCTTAGAGTCCCAAAAGATCGTTGCCATGACCTTGCCAGCTGATTCGGCGACTTTTGCCTTTTTTGGAGTAGGCTCGTCCTTTCCCTTCCACACCATGCTCTGCCGCTTGCTTTCGGGCGTCCAAATGTGCACCCAAGTCTCGTCCCCGGTTACTATCCTGTTGAATAGGCCATCTCCCTCATCATCAAAAAATTGTTGGAACTGGAGAGCAGCATCAACCCTCTGCTCCTTATGCCTTTCTGAAAGAAGGCGTGGCACCCATCTTGCACAGACTTTTGACAAACTGAGACCGTTCAGATCGTCCGAAATGATTCTGTGAAGCGACGCACGACTAATTTCAACATTTGGGGGAAGCTGTGTGATGATTTCATCCAATGTCAAGCGCCGGTCGGTGTCAATTACCTTGCGGACATCTTCAACAACAGTCAAAGCGCGGGAAGTGGACGGGCGGCCCACACAAGGATTACTACAACATTACAATGAAGAAGGCCGCGTGGGAGGAATTATCATTGATACATTGATCATCGTGTCACGATTTTTGTTCATCAATAAACGATTGACGCCAGCGGGAAACCATTGGTCTAGACATCACATTTTCACCATAAACACTGCACAATTCTCGATGAATTTCACTTGCATTTTAGCGAATTTCCCATATAGGGAATAAGCTATTACCGTAGTACTCACGGTAAGACCTGGACCCGGGACCGATTTTTTTTTTCGTTTTGAGGTCCCTAGAGGTCAAAAACACCATCCGTTCAAATTCATATATATATATATATATGTGTCCGTTAGCGCGATAACTCGAGCAAAAATGATCCAATTTTGATGAAATTTGGTACAAACGTGTAAACCTACGTTTTTTCGAACGAGTTCGCAAACCAGCATGATCGGACCATGGGAACGGGGGTTTATGGGGGCTTTTATGGGGAAAAAATGGGTTTTTCCCATTTTTGACCCAAAAAACATAAAATTTTGCAATTTCTTTTGTAACTATTTTGTAGAGCTTAAAAAAACAAATAATTTAGTATATTGAAGCGTTATAATGCGCCTAATGGTTACGGAGAAAATTCCAAAAAATTGTAAATTTAAAATTCCCATGTTATTCTTATGGAGAATAAGTAAACTGTTGTAGTTTGCTTGTTTATAAACATATTTTGCCCAAATTTGGAAAATGTTTTTATTTCTTACTAACTATTAACATTTTACTTAAAAAACACTTTTACCCTCCCTGTTGCAGCAAACCTAAGTATGTTTTAAACTGATTCTATTTAAATAGGGAATAAATGTGATAATTTTAAGGAGACATTTTAGTGTAAATCCATTCAGGGAAATGGAAATTCGCTTAGTCTGCAGGTTTGCTGCGGCGGGGGTATTTATTCTTTGCAGTCAAAAATCTAATTACTGCACGGATTTCACAATCGGCGGTGGGAACAAGTGGTGTCTCCATGATGGCCGGAGCGATACTGGAGGGGCGCGTGCCGTAGGCGGCCGCGACGTTTACAGTGTTGCCACTACATCCAGACGAAAATTCCCCGCGACTCCCAGCTTTCTAGCGCTCGACGCTGTGATTTAAAACAAATGTGTAACTTACTTTTGAGACGACCCTCGTACAATGACCTAAAATCTCCCACCAGTATATTTGGCTCTAAACCCAATAATTATTTTTGAATGGTCTACGGTAGCAGATTCAGAGCTCAACGCAGAGCGTGTTCGTCCACACCATGCACGGCTGCGGCTGTCTCCCCCAACCTAAGTAATTCCCTCCACGAAGTCACTTCCCCTCACGTGCCTGGCTGAGGAGCACTCCAAGTGGCTGTCGGTTGAACTGTAATGTGATTTTGCCGTGTAGGTAGGGAGCTATGTATGGTTAATGATCATCAGCTTTGTTTTGTCTTGAATTAGTTTTAGCCCATTCATTACTTGCTACTGCCCACTCAATTCTGTTAATATAATCATTCATTGATATAATTGTTTTGTTCGCCTCACTGAAATTGAGATGAGCATAGATTTGCAAGTCATCACCATAGGAATAAAACTTGGTGTGTTATAATACTGAACTTACACTGTTTATATAGTTAGAAAAATTTAAAGGTCCAAATTTTAATCCTTGAGGAAATCCAACTTAGATGAATATTGCACTGTTTAAAGCAGGCCTACAGCACTGATGCAAAGGTATGAATCAAAATCAAAGACTTACAAGACTGTACAATGTTCAAGGCCAAGCTATAATGATAGTGTGCTAATAAGTGGCAAGCAATCATAAAATGATTTGTTTGTAGCCTTTACCATCCAACTTTATTTATCTGATGAATTAAATTGGTAATGATAAACAAAAGGTTAAAATTATCACAGGACTTATTATTTATTTGACTTATATTTTAACAATCTGAGCAGAGATATGAGATGCAGGACTCCAAGTGTCATCATCAGATGGAGGTTCAATCTCCAGCCTAGCGAAGGTACCCCCTCCGGCACCCTTGACAAGATGCTCAGGGTTCACAACAAGGCAACCATGTAAATGCTTGATAAAATATCTGCAAACATTGAACAATGTCACAAGAATGTAAATGGGGAATTCAAAATAAGTCAAGGATAGTTTGAATTCCTATCTAAAAACTCATGATTTATGATGAGTGAACTATCTCAGTAGCGACAGTCAACAATGGAATAAAATATCTCTTTATTTTTGAGGTCAAGTCAGGACTGGCAATTTCTCTTTACCACTTAAACACTTAACTATGCCAATAGAAAAATACTCCCGCCACAGCAAACCTGCAGAGAAAGCAAATTTACATTTGCCTAGTTGGATTTTCACTAAAATATCTCCATTAATTGTCAGATGTATTCTCTATTTAAATAAGTTCAACAAGTACATAGGTTTGATGCTACAGGGGAGGTTATAAAGTGTGGGGTTTTTATTTAAATGTTTATAGCTTAGTGCATAGTTGGGAAAGTTAGTCAGATATTCTAACTTTTAAAAAGTTATTAGTAAGTCCCGTAAAAAGTAACTACTGATAGAAGTTATTAGTTAAAAAATGTAACTGATAGAAGTTATTAGTTAGTTCGTCAAAAAAGTAACTGATAGAAGTTATTAGTTAGTTCGTCAAAAAAGTAACTGATAGAAGTTATTAGTTAGTTCGTCAAAAAAGTAACTGATAGAAGTTATTAGTTAATTAAAAAACTAACTGATATAAAATAAAGTTAGTTTTCAGAGAAGTTTGCTGTTTGTTGGGAAGTTGTTTTAAAGGATTTCATATAAAATTAAATAATGACACATCTTGGTAACTAATTGTGTTATTAATAATTAAACATTGTCACATGACCTTAATAACTTATTAAAACTATTACTTAACTATCACTTAAATATAACAACTAAGAAAGCTTAAAGCATGTACACTCAACCGTGACACGTTCCAGGAAAAATAAGTAAAATTAAATACAAATAGACGGTCTTAATTACCAACACAAGTCAATGTTTTTGAAACCGCAGTGTTTTTTCTGGGTTGGAAGGGCAGTTAGGATGTAAACATACCAATAAATAATAAATCACCAGCCAGGCCCAGGCCCACTCAAGGTCATAGTCCCTTCCCTCTTAACCAGTTTGGAATACAATGCTCCAATTATTGCAGAAAAAATTGTGTCGCTGCCAGCCCGACCAAATGCGTGCACACACCATGACGGTTATTGGTAAAATAAATGTTATATCTTTTTACGTGTGTTCTGTGTTTTCTATTTTAAGTTTGTGACGAACATGAGAAGAGGATAAACCTGATGATGTGGCAGTTGCCAAGAAACATGAAGTTTACTAACATCAAACAAGGATATTGTAAGGTAACAAAATAATTTTATAAAAAATTGTGGAAAAAACATGAAAGTAGAGTAAAAACTACATTTCTTTGTTTAAAAACAGAAAACTGTTACAGATAATTTTCAAAGAAATTAATTCACGGTATTTTGTGTCTTGTAAATATTATATTTGATCTTAAAGACCAGATCTTCTTCGTATTTACAAGTGTCATTGTGATCAAATAGGTGTGTTATTCATTGTGATTTTTGTCAAATATAACATTCACATTCAGTTAAGTTTTAGTGCAATATAAACATGTTAATTAACACTAAATAGTATTTTACGTATCCAGGAAGCCTCATATCAACCCTATTTTATCCTGGTTAATCAGGAATTGAGTAATACAGAGGATAAGGTTGCTATGCTACCACAAAAAAAAAAAATTACTTCTCACACTTGTCAGAGAATGGTCATCAACTTAAGACAATGTTTTGAGATGACAAAAAATCACCAAAAAAACATTCGCCCTTCCAACCCCTCGGTGTTGTCAAGTGGCTGCCCCTGCCCCCCCCCATGGTCAAAATGCATACCAAATTCCAAAGCAACTGGACTTTCCCTTTCCCTACCCCCGCGTTGATTGTCAACAAGGGCACTGACCCTCACGGCCGCACGCAACCCTCACCGATCTTGCAAAAAACTCGTTTTTAGAAGTACTTCCGCCTGACCAAAAATCTAATGATTTAAAACTCCAGAACTAACGAATATATTATCTATTTGTTATCTAGAATCTAACTGAGTAGAAGTTATTTCCAGTACTTTTTAAAAACTAACGAATATGACTAATCGTTAGAATATCTATTAGTTATTCCAAAGTATGCTTAGTAGTATTAAATAAATTAATTTAAAAAATTTGAAAATCAATTTGAGTTTTAATTTGGATATTTAATTTGATCAAAACTTATCCATGAAAAAGCAAACTACAACAGTTTATTTATTAACCATAAAAATAACATATAATTTTTAAATTAGTTTTTTTCCTCCCTAAAAATAAGACATACAACATTTCAACGTTCTTAATCTGTTTTTAATCTCTTTACAATGGTTTAGGAAAAAATTGCAAATTATTATGTTTTTAGGGTCAAAAATGGGAAAACCCATTTTGACCCAACCCGTTGCCATAGTCTGAACATTCTGATTTATGAACTTGTTCAAATAACCGTAGGTTTACATGTTGTGCCAAAATCACATAACTTTAACTCTAGTTATTATCCTATCAGATATATACAGGGTGATTGATATAAGAGGGCCAGCTATTTTATTCAAAAGTTATAAGAGATATAAAAAAAATTTAAATTGTAACTGCCTTGGATTTTTATTTAACAATTTTGGTAAAATTTATAAAATAATTGTAGCCGCCATTTTCCTAATATGGCCGCCAACTTTGATTTGTCTTATGGAAGACCCTATATTTTATGATTTGTTTATGAAGTAAATGCAATTTTAAAACATTTTTATGGCATTTTTTCTCTTAAGCTACACATTTATTATTTATTATTTATTTATTATTTATTATTATTATATACAGTCTGGCTCTAGCCGCCGAGCAGATAAGCCGCACTACAGATAAGATCCGCAGTGACAGGGTTACGTGTTTGGTCGTGACTGTCGCGACATATTCCTAACGAGTTAATTAGATAATCCTATGTGTATTTCGCTGTGTGCATCGTTTAATTAATGATGTCGCCGTTTTGTGGTATCTGCAATCAAGAAGTCGTTACTGAAGAAAGTGATTGTGTTAAATGTGTTGGTGGGTGCAACAAGTTATTCCACGCGCTGTGTGTTAAGGACGATGTTCAAGGCATGAAAACGCGTTCTAATCGAGATTGGAAGTGTAAAGATTGTCGCGAGTTATTGCCCGGTACCAACACTGATTCCTACAATAAAGAATCGATTGCTAAAATGCTGAACGATTTTAAAACAGACTTTTTTCAAGAGTTGAAAACCTTCAAGAGTGAATTGTGCGAACTAACAAAGAGTGTTAGTTTTATTTCAGACAAACTTGATGAATCCATACGTGGCATGAAAGAAGTAAAGACCGAGTTTGCTGTTTTAAAAGAGGAAAACGAAGAGCTCCGTATTAAAAACATCACTCTTACAAGCAAAGTAGAGAAGCTGAATGACAAAGTGAGAAACTTGGAACAATATTCAAGAAAGAACAATGTGGAAATCAGCGGTCTTCCAGTCACCCCCAAGGAAAATGTCTTCGAGCTCGTTAAAGACGTTGGATCAGCCCTAGGGATGGAGATCGACGAGAAGGACATCTCAGCTGCCCACAGAGTACCCTCATTCAGTAAGGACCGCCATCAGCCAGTTATTGTGCAGTTTGTAAGCAGATTGACTCGGGACAACATGATTGGCAAGTTCAGAGACAAGAAAAAGATGATAGCCCATGAAGTCGAAGCGTCCTTCCCCAAAGACAGCATGTACGTGAATGAGCACCTATCTCTTGACAACAAGGTATTCCTAAAAAGTTTGAAAAATAAATGTAAGGAAATAGGTTATGAATATGCATGGTGTAGGGACGGCAAGTTTTTTGTGCGAAAGTGTCAGGATGCGAAATGCAAGAAAATCAACAATTATGATGAACTACTCAAGCTCCAATAGACCCTGTTATATTGTCATTTGCTTCAAAGTATCTATGTTACATCAGATACATTTATTTTTATTTTTTTTGTAGTTCAGCAGAATTTCCCTAACTCATAATGTTAAGTAGTGAAAATTTAGATATGAATGTTTTTTTCGACCCACAAAGTAAAAGCAATAGTTTGAATTTAATTTGTATGAATATAAGAAGTATGCGCAAAAATTTCAATAGTTTTATAGCAGAAATAAATAGTATAAATAATAGAATCCATTGTATAATACTTAGTGAAATTTGGATAGGTTCAGACGAAATTCACTTATATAACATTCCAGGCTACAAGATGTTTGCTCAGTGTAATGATACATACAGGTCGGGAGGTGTTATATGTTAAAAACTTTAATTTATTCACAAATAGACAAAATTTAATTCTTACATTAATTTTACAAATAAAATATTGATGAAAGGTCGTCGTTTGTGGGTGTGGAACCAATTATGCTGGCGGCATTTCCTTTCTGTATGGCCATGGCAATTCATTGTATTAAGTGGCTCCTTGCTTTATGGTCGCCTGTTTTTTCTATTAGCTTGCGGCCTATTTGATTTACCCAGTTCTTGCCTTCCTTGCACCATGGCCCAGCAGTTTCCACACCCAGAACGATTAATTGGTATCCTTTTGATGTAATATTAGAGTATTTTGTATGTTTTCTCTGGGTGGCCATTTCAGCTGCTGCTCCGGATTGCTTTTTTGTTTGATTTATATAACTTACTGCGTAAGTATCAGAGCAAGTGAAATCCCAGATTAGACATTGGCCCTTGCTCCAGGGGATGATTGTGGCTCCATCTGGCCGCTTCCCATCATTTCGGTCAAGACCTGTGGGTTCCAGTTGGGCTGGGATGTCAGCACACACCAAAGCTTTTTTTATCAGATTGTTAACTTCAGCGTGTCGGAAAAATCTTCCAGAACTGTTGATACAGGATAACGGGTGTAAACCTCTCTTGTCTACGATTTCACCACAGACACACTGAAATTCTCGGCAGAGATTACAACCTAATCTAAGTCCAATACTGATTTGGAAGCTTTTGTCATCCATAAACATACCAATGTT